TTGCTGCAGCAGCAGCAGCAGCACCTGCTGCTGCTGCTGCTGCTGCAGGCAGGGCCGCAGCAGCGGCAGCAGAAAGATGTCGCGTTGCAGCTTTTGCCTCGCAGCGTTATAGAAGACCGATGGCCGAAGGTGTAAGCAGCAGCTGCTGCAGCAAACGCAGCAGCAGCAGCAACACCAGCAGCAGCAGCAGCAGCAACAACAACAGCACCATCAGCGACGAGCCCACTGTTGCCCGCAGCAGCAACAACAGAAAGAGCAGCAGCATCAAAACAAGCGGCACCACCAGCGCCCCGGGTGTATATGCACAAAGTTGCATATGCCAAGCAGCAGCAGCAGCAGCAGCAGCAGCAGCAGCAGCAGCAGGAGCTTCAGGATCCTCAGCAGCAACCTCTCACCCCTCTCCCCCTGGGGGCCCCCTTGTCTTACGCTTCGCCCCCAGCCCCACCGGCCTGCTGCATGTGGGGGGGGCCCGCACTGCCCTCTTCAATTTCGGCCTTTTACAGGACCATCGCTCCCATGGGGGCCCCCTGGGGGCCCCCGGGGGCCCCCAGGGCCCCCAACGTCTTCAGGGTCCCCAGCCCCCCCGGGGGCCCCACCAGGGTCTTTTGGACCCCCAGAGGCCCCAGGGTACCGGGGGTATGGAGAATGAAGAAGAAGGAGAGAAGGAGAGAAAAGAGAAAATGATTTTAAGGATCGATGATACAGACAGCAGCCGCAGCGAGCAGCAGATGGAGGCAGCCATGCTTGAGGACCTCCAGTACGTAACCCTAAACCCTAAACCCTAAACCCTAAACCCTAAACCCTTTTATCTCTCCCGTTTCTATGCGTCTTCTGGTGTCGTTAAGGGATGGGCGGAATGATATGAATTGGTATTGAGGGTTTAGGGTTTAGGGCCTAGGGTTTAGGGTTTAGGGTTTAGGCTTAAGCAAAGGATACCGGATGTGGATAGGATTCAGGGTTTAGGGTTTAGGGTTTAGGGTTTAGGGTTTGGGTTCTCTCTGCAGGTGGCTGGGCATCAAGTGGGATGAAGGCCCGGATGTGGGGGGCCCCCGGGGCCCCTATAGACAGTCTGAGAGGCAGCATATATATCAGTGGGGCCCCCAAACCAAACACAGCCAACGTAGCTGCTGCTGCTGCTGCTGCTGATGCTGATGCTACAAGCAGTCCCTACTGCTGCTGCTGCTGCTGCTGCTGCTGCTGCTGCTGCTGCTGCGGCTGTTGCATGCAGTCGCTGCTGCTGCTGGTGCATGCAACCTGCCCTGCTGCTGCTATTCCTGTGTAGTCCTCTTGAGCTGCAGCTAGAAGGTTCAGCATAGGGCGTCACATGCTGTTGCTGCTGTTGCTGCTGCTGCTGCTGCTGCTGCTGCTGCTGTTGCTGCTGGTGCTGCTGCACGTTGTACAGACAACAGGGACGACGGCTGCTGGAGAAGGGGATGCTGTACAGATGCTTCTGCAGCAAAGAGAGGCTGCTGCAGCTGCGTCGCGAGGTAAGCTTGCTGCTGCTGCTGCTGCTGCTGCTGCTGTATGTGCTGCTGCTGCTGCTGTATGTGCTGCTGGTGCTGTTGCGACTATACGTGCTACTGGTGACGCTGCTGCTGCACCTACTGCTGGTGCTGTTGCTGCTGGTCTTGCTGCTTGTGCTGCTGCTGCTGCTGCTGGTGTTTGTGCTGCTGCTGCTGTACCTGCTGTTGCTGCTGCTGCTTTGCCTGCTGCTGATGCTTGCTGCTCCTCCACTTGCTGCTGCTGTTACTGCTGCTGCTGCTGCATGCACCGCTGACATCGAGCAGCACCAAAGCAGAGCTCCTAGGGTTTATCATCTGCGGTTTAACGTCTAAGGCCTAGGGCTTAGGGTTTAGGGTTTAGGGTTTAGGGTTTAGGGTTTAGGGTTTGTGCTTGCAGTGCACAGAGCGGGGCCTTCCGCCTCGCTATGACGGGCGCTGCCGCTCCCTGGATCAGCAGCAGGCAGAGACTCTTGCTGCAGCAGGGAGGCCCTTCACTCTCAGATTCAAGTATAGTTATTGCTGCTGCTGCTGCTGCTGCTGCTGCTGCTGCTGCTGCTGTTGCTGCTGCTGCTGTTCGTCTGCCTGGTGTGCCTCAAGGGGAGAATTTTGTGTTTGCTGGCTGTCCTGAATATCCTTTCCTGCTGCATCATCTGTTGCCCTCACCACGTGCTGCTCTTGTTGTTAATGCTGCTGCTGCTGCTGTTGCTGCTGCTGCTGCTGCTGCTGCTGCTGCTGTTGCTGCGGTGCAGGACGCCTGCTGAGCCTGAGACAATTTGCTTCAGAGACCTCGTGAGGGGCCCCGTGACTTTCTCCGTGCAGCAGACAGCAGGGGATTTCGTTTGCTTCAGGCACACAACGGGGGCCCCCAAAGGAGAGGTTTGGGGGGCCCCCGTATACAACTTCTGCTCTGCTGTGGATGACTGGCTGATGGGAGTGACTGCCGTCGTCAGAGGGGAGGAACACATACCCAACACCGTGGCGTGAGCTGAGGGTTTAGGGTTTAGGGTTTAGGGTTTAGGAATGAAAGTAGCAGCCCGAAACTCTGCGCAAAGTCTCGTCCTAGAGCAGCCAGCTACTTGGTCTTTCATGGCCATATGGTGCGCTCCAGGCTTAGGGTTTAGGGTTTAGGGTTTAGGGTTTAGGGTTTGGGTTGTGTGCGGTGCAGCCAGATACTGGTAGCTCGGGCCTTGGGTGCCCCCGTGCCTCTCTTTTGCCATCTCCCCGTCATTGTAGCGAAAGAAGGAGGAAAGATCAGCAAACGCATGCAGCAGCAACTTGCTAGCAGCAGCAGCAGCAGCAGCAACAGCAGCAGCAGCAGCAGCAGCAGCAGCAGTGACTACACGATTCGGGGTTTGCGGCGGCGCGGCTATCACCCAGAGGCTGTCGTAGATTTCCTTAGGGGCCACCACACCAACGAGGGGGGGAACCAGAGGTGCGTAGACACCCCAATGTGCTGCTGCTGCTGCTGTTGCTGCTGCTGCTGCTGCTGCTGTTGCTGCTGCTGCTGCTGCTGTTGGCTGTCTGCTGTACATACACCTCAGCACAAACCAGGAGAAAGTCTGAGTACCTTAAAACGCCGTCTCACTGCAAACCCAGAAACAACGCTGGGACCCGAAATTAGGGTTTAGGGTTTAGGGTTTAGGGTTTAGGGTTTAGGGTTTAGGGTTTAGGGTTTATGATGCCGCTATTCAGGGAGAAGCCGTCTTGGTTGAGTGCGTTGGGCCGCGGGGCGTTTTGCTTCGATGAGATACACCTCAAGTTTGCACACAAACAAAAGATACGGCAGGTAACTCTGCTGCTGCTGCTGCTGCTGCTGTTGCTGTTGCTGCTGCTGTTGCTGTTGCTGCTGCTGCTGTTGCTGCTGCTGGTGCTGCTGCTGTTGCGGCTGCTGTTGCTGCTGCTGGTGCTGCTGCTGGTGCTGGTGCGGTTCTTTTATTGCTCCTGTTGCTGCTGCTGTCGTCCCTGCTGCTGTTGGTGCTCCTGTTGCTGGTGCTGGCGTTGCTGTGGCAGCAGCAGCAGCAATGCACAGCAGCAAACGGGAGAAATCTGTTTCTTCAGAGCTGCATGCGCTTAACC